TTTCCTATATATATAAAAACCCAGTGATATGCTCATTCAATCATCATGTTGGCAATGTCGACGTTGGCCGAAAGATACTAGACAGGAAAAGAAAGTCGATCGATGTGGTTGTAACTGTTCACCGACTGAGGTGGCTTGAACATGTTTTGTTCATACCAAGCCACTGCCTACTTGGATGGCAACGCCAGGTGAAGTTGGACTAAGTTGAGAGAAGACTTAGGGTGACCAGACCAAGACGTGGCGCCAATCCATGGTGTCTTTGACTGAGCCATCTACAGAGGTGCGGACTATTTGGTTGGAGTGCCCTAGGTGATAGGAAACAGTGGTTGGAGACTTTGTGACATGGCAGATGTATTCACTTTGACGTCTTTTAAAGCTGGAATATTTGCACTCACATTTATGTTGTTCATTCTCTCATACACCGTCTTCTTTAATATCAGTCTTTTTCTATCCACTTGTTCCTTGTATGCTACTGTGAAGTGTGACAACTTGAACCAATGCAATTCTGTGTGTTTCAGCGTTGATTTTATTTGTTGTCTGTCTGTACTTAGTTCGTATCAACTCTAAGACAAAAACTCATTCATAGTCTACACTTACTTGTAGAAAATTATGGTGGAGAACAAACTTTTATAATTTGCCTGATTTCTCAGCACTTTGTCCGTACATATTGGTCATGATCATCATGATGACAGAAGATTCATTTATTTATTCTTCCCATACACATTTGTTTACCTGAATATCGTTCTTTTGTCATTTACTTCCTCATTGCGTTACCCTATGAAGCGTAGTAGCTTGAAGTGATGAAATTGTGTACAAGGTTCTTCATCGATTTCCCTGTGTCTATACAAGAATATGTCAACACAGAATTGTGTCAAACAGACAGGATCAGCATAAAACCTCGCACAAAAGTGCATCGGTTCAATTCCCACAGTATCAGTCGCAAGCAAAGACAGATGGTATCAAAGTAGACAAAGCTTTGTGAGAGAGTAAATAATCTGAAGTTAAAGGCTGGTGCGAATATTCAAGTTATAGAAGATACCACAGAGTGAATACATTTGCGACACTGCAACTGACTCTCAGCCATACCTTGTCACCAAGAGTCCTTAACCACTGATTCTTTTCGTCTTGGGGACCCAAACAAGTAGTCTACATCTTCCTGCACGGCTCAGACTAACAGTCATGGTCTGGTACCACATCTTGGTATGGCCACCCTTTTCTAATCCAATCAAGCTTTTCCTAGCATGACTCGTCGAGGTAGGTAGAGAATTGGTACGAACGAAAGATGTCCAAGCCACCTCAGACTATAAGGGTTTACAACCTAACCTATCTTGCTTAGTACTCTTCGCCTGACCTCAACATTGCCCGTACGGTGATTCCACCAAACGCTAGCAATGCTACAAAGACATCTATGGTAAAAACCATGTAACCACTTCATTTCTTCTACTTCTAACGGCCATTTCTCGCAGCCATACAACAAGACAGAAAGAAATGCAGTTCAGGATATTCGTCCTTTGGTATATAGTTGGACATCTCACCAGTCTGTTCTATAGACAAAGGAAGTTGGAAAGTTCCAAGCAGACCTTCGCTAAATTAGCTGAGATTTCGTCAGAAACCAGCCCGTTCAGGCTGATGTGACTCCCAAAGAAGTGAAGTGGCCGAAACATTCCACCACTTCACTCTCTATCATTAAACTAGGAGTGGTTGCAGGTCATTACAGAAACGTCTTCTTACATTTCACGGGTGCAAAGTGCATTGCAAACACTCAGATTTCCGCTCAATGCGTTCAGAAGACTCTGCATTCTATCAGCGTCTTCACCTAGTAAGAAAATATTGTCTGCATACTCCAAGTCAACTAGATAACCTCCAAGTAGTAGATCAATCCATGTGAAGTCAGACGCACCTGTTATGTCCATCAGTACATCTATAACGAAGTTAAATGGGAACGGTGACAGTGGACATCCCTGACGAACACCATTAGTTGTCGTCAATTCAAATGACAACTCTCCATAAACCCTTACATGGCTGCGTAAGTTCGAGCGGAGAGCTTTGATTAGCGTTATATACTTTCTCGGTACTCCCTTCGGTTAGATACTGCCACAACACCATACTCGACAGTCAAATGCCACATTCACGTCAACAAATATAGCAACTGTCGACCACCAGCCAGTAGGTATGCCTGTGTTCCAGAACCTGTCAGAAGGTAAAAATGTGATCGATGTACCCTAGTTCAGGTTTAAAACCTGCCTTGATTTATCGAGTTTGCTGTCCGTGAGCTCCACTTAGGCGTTAGATAACTATGAACCCCAAGACCTTAAACACAATATTAGTCAAACCAATTCCCCTATGGTTGTCACAAGGAGATTTCTTCCACTTCGTATAGACTGGGATGATCAGTGAAGTACACCAGTCGAATAGCAATATCTCTGATTTTCATACATTACCTATTACCTCTGTCATTTTAACCGTCATCTTTGAAAACTTAGAGGGCCAAGCTGTCAGATCCTGCTGCTTTGCATTGTTTCAAGTTCACTACAGCTTTGTCAACTTCAAGGAGAGTTAGGGAACGACATATACGTGCCATTTAGGTTCAGGCTGGATGTTGGGCAATAAGCGTTGCCGAGGGCCAGTTGAACTGTGCTTCGAAATGTTCTACACAACATCCTACTTTACAACTTTATGCTATACCTACACCTGTCGTCTGTGGATACTCTTAAGATGAATTTTAAAGATTTACTACCACGACCAGGTGAGGTCAATCTAATAACCACTGTCGGATCCAGTATACTTGTCTCAGGGACACTGCATACATTCATGGTTAGGGATTCCAGAGTTTCGGCAAGCAATGCGTGCTGTCCGATTTGGCATAGAATTCGAACGTTAAAAGCTCTTACATAAAATCGATAGTGGGCTCTTAGGAGATTAGAACTGAGGTTTCGATCGTTGACAATGGTTGGAGAGTAAGAAGTTGGTTAAGGCGTAAGAGGCTTGTTATTAGTATCAGAAAGTGAAGGCAGAGGAGGAGAGAGGGATAGGTTGTGCTTGATGAGATCTTTTGTATTACTGGGAGCGTGTGAGCGATTGATGCTTCCAGACTGCCCACACTGTGGAAGGCTAGTTGTTTTTGAAGTACCTGAAAAAGAAGAGGTGGTATATGACCTCAGAACCCGTGGAATATCTGTTAGAGACCGGTAACACCTGACCTTTTGGCGATTTTGAGATTTTGTTTTTTTACTCTTAAATTCAGCCATGAATCCGTGTTGCAAGCATCAGCATGCCGCGAGGTGGTGGGGTATGTTATTTTCGGGCTGACCTTTTCTAATCCCCTTTCCCATTGTGAAGGCAGCATCAGCTTGGTACTGCTGGTCATCCAAGCGAAACACGTTACTGCTCTCACACCACATCCAGCTGCTAGTAGCAGGGTGACTTCGCTCTTAGATCCTAATCATAGTGTAGTAATTTATACCACTGCGGTAACTGCTTTTTGTCTTACCAGTATCCAGCAGACCTTCCTGGTATGGTAGGACCTCTAGGGAACAGGGGTTCCACTAGCATAGCTCGTTGGGTCATTGTGGTATGCAAGCCCGACTACCACGTCAAGGTAGCAGCTATCGATCGGGAAAACGTATGATTGAATATTTTCCGATCTCATTATCGATGTATCGAATCCAGCTTCCCGGCTTAATAGTTGGAATGAATATGGATTCCGTTGCACCACTGCTTCAACAATCAATTCTGATATTGTCAATCCCGTAGGTGTTCGGAACGAGTTATTATCTGAACACTCACACCTTGATCTACAAATATTTACAAGAATTTTAATCCCGTAAGTGTCTTTTGTTTGTTTGTACATCTCATTGAACTGTAATTGGGTTATGAACCATAGATCCATCAGCTCTGTTAAGTTTGGAACAGTGAGTTTTGTATGGTGTGTTCATCGTTCTTCAGAAGAATAAACGTTGTCTCCATTCAAGTGAAAGTGAGATCATGTCGATAGAAACCATCCTGTTATTATCGTTTATCTTCAGTATCTTTTTTGTTCAGAAATCTAGTTGTTGAACTAGCTGGATGTTCATTCCCACTGACGAGGTGACTAGGTTTTCTGTGTAATCTGTATGAAAATAATTTCAGATATTGCAACTACTGTTCTTAGTGGAATATTTGTCTTATATATCTTGGGTCAACTGTAGTATCTTGGTGACACTGATCCATTTGCATTCATTCGTCACTGTTCTTCTCAAGCCATTTCGCCAGTTTTTACTGAATTACTCACTTTTATTTGGACCTGGATGTTTGATCAGATTTTTATCCGGGGGTAAATGGCTTTTTTATTGAGAACTTGTTCCTTTTTAGCATGATTAGCGTTATTCGGGCCTATAGCTTTTCTTCATTCGTCAGATGGCGATATTACAGTCATCTTGTACGGCATCAGTGATTTCAGTTCACTCCTTTCCTTCGAGTCCAGTAGATATTGATTTCCACCTATTTGCACCAGAGGTTCAGTTGATTCACGTAACTCTTGTTTTTCAACACTCAGTTCCTAGGATTCCAGTGGAAACGTCACCTGTGCGCAAAAATATACTTTGTTCACATTTTCAATGTTGAGTGAAAATAAGGTTGTGAATGGTGACAAATAATCTAGAAGTGACAAAGGCGTAGTAGATAAGATTCAGACGAAGATAGAGTGTAGATGTATGTATTTCTCTGAGATCGATCCTGAGCCACCTCGCATACTGTCTCTAAAAACCGATCTTTTCATTCTGGTATACCTTAATCAGGAAGCCTATTCACTTCTAGATGACCAGAAACGATGCTTTTTGCGTTCTTCCTGCTTTCAGTTTCTGATCAGCTTTTGGCAATACACTCGTTTTTTGAAGAAAGATAGGCTTTTTGTCATCAGTCTGATTATTTAATTGGTTGTACTTTATGTGAATTGGATGGAATTCTAGTTCGCCTGTGAAATAACGCTTCGATCCTTGTTTTTCTCCTTTTTCCCGTTACAGCTTTGTTACCTGAACTTCATTCATTTTTGGCTGTGGATTTAAACAATGTCCAGTTACCGCCTAGTATAGAACAAAAACGTCGGCGACTTCTTGAACGTATTGACGTTCTTAGTTTGGGTCCTATCCCACCATTGCCAAGGAATACCATCACCACTACTTCTGTCTGTCCTGTCGGTGGTTATGATAGTATTAGTAATAGTAATAGCGGCAGCAACAACAATAATAATAATGGTTTGACGATTTCTCAGAGAAGACCATTGAGTAGTATTGCTCGTTTCTTTTCAAATAAACGTTATTCTCTTCCACCTACGATCACTTGGTGAGTTCAGATGGTTTCCATTACTTGTTGAGTGATTGAATTGTACTATCTTGTTACTGATTGATTGAAGTTATTATTTATAGACATTCCACGTGATGTCTGTTGAAAGTTTCAGCTTCCTAAAGTGTGTATTGACACTGTCTACTCTGCTTTTATATACCTGGGGTTTGCCTAGTGATATTGTCTTTCCGTTGGTATGATAGAGTTTTGAGGAGTCGATCCTGCAAACTGTACTTGCACAAACTACTGAAAAACATGAGTAGCTGTGAACCTCTCAAGCTTATCCTTAAATTCCTCCAGCCGGATTAGAGTATTGTAAACAAGAACAGCTCGTTTGGGGTCGAATTCATCAGCCGGTGCACCCGTGCAAATTCACTTCATAGACCAAAATAGCGCAGACCAACTAAATCTGCCCGACTGACGTCGATGAACTGATACACCTTGCACAGGATGATCGGCTAACAAATTCTTTACAAATTACACGGTCTAAGTTAACTTTTTTCCCAGTTGAGTAGTTTTTCAACTGTCCAAGTGTGGTGTGTCAACAGGGTTTCTGTTGGAAATCACTCAGTTAAGAACACAAGGTATGGTCTCTGAAACAAAAGTATCATGAGTTATCGAAATATGTACTACTGAACAAAATGAGTCGTTTGAAGTCACTCACACTGATCCGTAATTTGTAAATCATATGCAAATTAGTCATCCTACATACTTGAGCAATTAAATCATCTTATCAATATCAAGGTGCTTCCGAGTAGGTACAAAATGTAGCCAGAATGACTGCATGATCGGTTTCGAGTAGACCCTAAGGTTATACTTCATAGTTGTACAGAATGAAAGTCACCCATGAAGAAACAGAACCTCGCCTGGTTAACTAGTTCACTAGTTACTAGCCGGTCCTAAGCCCTGGTAAAGAGGGAAGGTTGGGCATAGGGCTAGCAACCCTACCTCGTAAAACCAACTCAATCGCTAAAGAAACTTCAACGGAAACTTCACTATGGAAAGCTCAGTGACACCTTTAAAGTGAAGGCAGGAGTAAGACAAGGCTGCCTACTATCATTGATGATCTTCCTGATTGTGGTGGGCTGGATTATGAAACCAACTATGAGGAGCGAGAAGAGGGTAATACACTGGCTGGACAGATGAAAAGAGCCTAGAAGATTTGAATTTTGCCGATGATTTATGTCTAGTGTCGCACAAACTCGAAGATCTACAGGCAAAAACCACCAAGTTAACCGAAGAAGCAGAGAAGACGAGACTTCAAGTGAATGTATAGCAGACAGAAGTGATGAAGATACCCAACTAACAACAAGCATCAATCACGATGAACGGGAGAAACCTAAAGGAAGTAACCTCTTTCACCTATCTAGGCAAGGCAGCATCGTTTCAGCTACAGGTGGTGGTGGCACAGATGAGGACTTCAAAGCCAGGATCGGGAACCCAAGACAGGCGTTCATTAACCTCAAATCAGTGTGAAGATCTACTGCACGGCACTCTGCATAAAGCGTGAACAAGATCTGGATTTTCAACACCAACGTCAAGTCAATGCTTCTATATGGTGGTTCAGAAACTTGGCGCGTCATGAAAAGCGATTCCGACAAACTGCAGACATTCATCAACAGCTGCCACGTAAGCTCGATACTGAAGATCAGTTGGCCAGCAAAAATAAGCAACAAAGAACTTTGGCTGGCTGGTAACGAACCAACCAAGAACCCATCGCCCAACAAATATGCAGAAGAAAGTGGAGATGGATTTGGCATACACTGATAAGACCGATTGGGATATCACGCACCAGGCCCTCGAGTGGGACCCAAATGGGAAACAACGAGTTGGGCGCCCGAGGCGAGGGTGACATGGAGGAGATCGTGTGAAGAAGAAATGAGAGCCTTTGGGCTGTCGTGAAGCCAGGTTCAAAAGATTGCAGAGAACAGAGTGAAATGGAAACGTGCTACTGAAGCCCTATGTTCCACTAGGAACCCAAAGGACAAATAGTGATAATGATAATAAAGAAGCAGGTGTATGTCAACTGTTGTGCACCCATAAAAACATCTAAACCCAGAGTAAACATGAGTTGCGTGAAAAGTGTTAGGTTGCTTACAAAGAAACACTTTTTCAACTGCTCTTTTATGAAAATACAACCGGAAATACAAATATCACTTTTGGAACCTCATATTCTATTATGTATGTAATTACAGCATTTTGGGTTTTGTATTTTTTAAAGTCGGTATGATAACTGTAAACTTTAAAGTCAGTAAAATACGTAGCGAACCCCTGGTATTAGTCTAGGGAGCTGATTTTCAAACAGTGCGTCACGGGTTTGAGCACCTCTCCACCTACCGAGGTTCGCACAGCCAGATGGTATCATTAACACTTGCACAATAAGTGTAGCTCATTGTCGCACCGCCGTGATATCCGTTTGTCTATCAAGGTCGCGTGTACTGCACAGCAGTCCGCTCTATTCTACTCAATGTCTGTGAAACGTGGCCATTGAGGGTAGAAGATACGAGAAGGTTTCAGGTGTTTGACCACCGTCGCCTTCGTAGTATACACCATATTCCGTCGTGTCACCACCTGAGTAACACAGAAGTCAACTGTAGAGTTTTAGGGAGAAGAGGTAAGTTAGTTGACACACCTTTGTGAACCTTCATCGACTGAGATGCTTGGCTTCGACATATGTTACGTAGACGTAGTCGTTGTCCGCCTCGTCACACAATGTTGGTCGAAGTAGGTCCACTCTGGAAAAAGGCCTGAGGTGACCAGACTAAAACATAGCATCAATGTATGAAGTCTCTGACTGTTGGTTTGATTCATCCACGGCGATGTAGACTAGGTGGTTGGGGTCCGCGGGACAAAAGGAACCAGTGGTTGGAGACTTTAGGTGATGGCATGGCTCAGAACCGAAGTCACTGGCGCAGATGTATACACACATTATCCTCATCTTAATGACGCTATACTGAATGATTCTTCTTTTCTCTCTCTTCTTACTTTGTATTTCTTTTGACTGAATTTTCTTTTCTTCATCTTCCACTTCACTGTTTTTTTTAATTGATATACTGATACGCGGTGTGGCGACTTGGACTGTTACTCAGTAATTCCTGGTCCTGTATTGACTTGAGTGGATGGATGGGTAGCTCATTGTCTATCGCACGACAGTTTGCTACGTTGCTGAGTTGATTTCGATTACTTTTTTGTCCACAGGTGTACATGGACTGATTTTCGTTTCCTGAGACAGAATGTCCACGCTCTGTTACTCACCCAATCTGTCCTGTTATCTAAGGATTAAATGATTGGTCACTTTGACTTTCAGACGTAACACAGTCATACTATATGTGTAAGAGTAGAGAACATAGGTTCAAGTCATTAAACAAAGATGTAATAGCGAAGAAAATTTTCTGATAGAGTATTTCATTTAATGAAACTACAACCGTATTTAAAGACATTTGAGAAAAATAATTGTTGTTAAACAATCGGGACATATAATTACTACAGTGTTTACGAGTAGAATACAAAGTTTCTAAAGACAATAGAAACTTACTACTCCAGCCATTTTGAATGTACATAATATTTTTGAACGCAAAGACCAGGTTTAAGGTTATGAATTACGACTGGTTTGGCTATGTATAGATAATGCAGTGGGGAAGGCTTTTGGAATTGTAGAGGTAAATTATTTTGAATGCATTACCAGAAGTAGGCAGATGTTCGGAGATGACTCCAAGAGTGGAGTTGTTGGTTTTCTCTGTCACCTCTGGATAAAATGCATAAATATATACTTGTTTATTTGATTTCTAGGAGATATATTTGCTGTAAAAGTTTACGTCCAATTCACTCTTCGTTCAGAAGAAAGCAGTTTTCTAATTACTTTATGTGATGTATTGGCTGAAACATTTGGTTTACGGCTGTGGCGACACAGATTCAAACTCCTGTTTATTCATTGGCGGTTGGGTAATCAGGGTTATGCTATCACTAACTCTCGTACATATGTGGCTAATACCCCAACTCGAATTGATAATAATTGTAATGTATTCTTCGTGTGTGATATATCTTAGCCTTAAATGATGGACTGTGTGTGTGTGTGTGTGTATGTATGTATGTATGTATGTATGTAAATGGACGTGATGACTTGGCAGGTGTGCTGTGATAAAGATTATGACTAATATACCGTCTCTACTACACTTCTTACTAGTTTGTGTGATTGTGAATTATGTCTTTAATTTGTTAAAACAGGTCGTATTAGTTATTGACACCTGAAGTGACTAGAAAAAAATGACTGACTTTTCATGTTTGTACATTAACAATCTCCTACTATTAGTAATGAAATAAATATTCATGAACATGGTATTCATAGAGAAGAGAAAAGTAGTTTCTAAGTAGGTATGGTTTCTCTGGTTTTTTTTGTCTCTCTACCTGTGTGTTTGTGTGTGCGTTGACAGGCTTCAATCAGATACTTTAAATTTTTCTTCTCTTCTTTAACAACTAATTTCCTCTTCCTTTTTTAAAAAAAAAAGAATCCTTCATATTATCTCTTCTCATTATGTTAGATCAGACAAAATCACACCTACTTTTCTTCTGTGTAATTCCAGATGAAAGTCATCAGTGAGATGCGTGTGTATATGTAAATATACTGCTGTTGGGGACTGTACACTTCCATCTATCTCCTTTCTTGTTGTTCTTTTTTTTACTTTCAGAAAAAGTAGTTAAACATCTATTCAAATTTTTCACCTTTTTCCGTCTACAAATTGTTTGGCATCTCAGACTATTGCCCACATTGGTTTTCCTCTCTGTTATTAGTTTTATTTTTAACCTCTTTACTGGCTAGTTATGAATGATTTTTTAAAATTATTTTATTATAGTTTTATAATCCACCATCCTATATATATGCTACTTACGTTTGTATAAATGGGGTGATATTAGGTACAATATCCATCCACTCACAATGAAGTGTGTTTTAAAATACTGGAAATAAAATCTAGGGAGCAAAGAGAAAATTAATCAAAATTGTA